ACGCTATTGAGGTTTAATGCGAGGACTAGGTTATACTGTACAGTGGGTGATGTGTGTGGTGTTGAAGGCCAGTTACCTCATTTTGCAGCTGTGAAGATTCGATGTACGTGTTTCCTAATCTTAAAAATCAAGTAGAAGCTAGAAGCGAAAACATATTTAGCGGACACAGTTTAATTATCTATGCATCTCATAGCACGTGCTATGAACATATCTCGTTTAATCTAATGGCAATCCTGAATAAATATATTGAGCTCGACGATTATATTTACCGGTAAACGGGTCACATTAATATGCGCCAGTTATAATTAGGTCAATTGTTGCTTAGAGCTAGCGCTTATTAACTCATCTCTCACGCGGTTACCTCATTTTTTTTTACTAGTACAGCCTTAAACACGACGATTTGAACCTAAGTATTAGCATTTAGACAGGTACATCAACTTTAAGTTCTTGCGTGTTAGACGCAACGTAATTGCGATTTGTTTTTCGAAATACTAGCAGTTTCAACTCCCCCCCCCCCCTTTTCCCTTCATAGGCGCTTGGATTGGCGGTCTATTTGTCTCAAACAATGACCCTCCAGCTTGACTGTGACCGCTGGCATCTGGTATAATTAAATGACCTAATATCGGCGGCAGCAAACCTCCAATATGGATTTTTTTTAGTTTGTTTAGCTTCTTACCAAACGGAATGCGCGGCGGTCCCCATCATAAGTCACTCAGTCATAAGCAATGATACCCCAAGTAATTTTCCTGAATTGCAAGTTCTTGGATCAAACATGAGTGTGCCTAAATATCTCGCGGTTGACGTCCTGAATTGTCGGCAAACGTTGCATCAGAATCATGAGGGTTAACCAGATTCGCCGGACTCTGTAATGTACAGTATCATAATCGTAGAACAGTCTCGTTTCCTATGTCCACTTAAGCAACCGACTTTTAGCGCCGTACGCGAAGATCAGGATAAACAACAAACCTCATACGTTAAGTGTCAACTAAGACGAAGTAGCTGGAAAAAGTTCGCGCAGGTACTATATATGATCTGTCGACTTACGGGATTTAGGCAAACACGTCCTTACTATGTCATAGGTATTCTATTCTACCAAATCCAAGCGTTATAAAGCCATCTTTGGCGACTAGCAGACGCTCGTCTGAGCAACCAGCATCAAAAAGGTCACAGGTTGTCACCACAATCTAAATTACGTCAGTTTGTCAAAAGCAAAGACGCCTTCCTTGAACGCTTTTCTCGACGGGTGCATGGATGACTTTTATAAATAAGTTCGTTGCGGAAATTCGAGTCCTATCACTTGATTTAGTTACACTCAGTATGTTACCCTTGCTGATACTTTTCTGAATCTGAAGTCAAGCGTGGTTCCTGACTTATTAACGATGGATTTGCCCATCGGCTTGTAGGACCGTATACTGAAGCGTAGACGAGCAGCCTTTTGAAGAAATGAATGTTTTGTTGGACATCGTTTCTGCGCTCCTGTGCGTGGAAAATGGTCAAACGAAATTTATCTTAACGTATTGTGGCATTTTAATAAGTAATGTAGTTTTACAATAGGTAAAAGCATGTTGTAAAGTTGGAGGACAAAGGCAGAAAGCAATGTTCTGCGGTAAAAATAGCAACACGTTCATTCAGTACGCAGTCAACTAGAACAAAAGCGCACCAGGATAACTTATATTGGGGAACATTTGGTCTATCACTTCTGATTTTGACTCGAGTTTCAAAACCAAATTTTAGAACATTTCAAGGTGTTGAGCACCGGCGACAGACCGTAGCGCGTCGATAATGTACGTGATAGGTGATGTCGTAGGAAGGCCACACGACCCAGGTTAAGCGACTAGGGCGCAAAACACTTATAGGCCTCCACTCGTGTGAGCTAGGCGAATCTAGCTAAAAAAAAAACTGCATAAAATTGATTGAAGTGATGAAATTTATTAGACGCGAACTTACATTGAACATTTAGAAAGTAAATAGATGCGCTCAAGAGCATCCAATAGTCCATGGTTTTTTCGCATAAGGTTTCCAATACAACGGTTCTGACACCGTATCTTATGACGACTGATTTCGCTACGCTGGACTTCTTTAGTTTTATAGTCATATAGTCATAGCTATGCTGGAGAAAACATTTTCTTAGGTGCACTCGTCAAGATTCTTCCTGACAGGCCTCTAAAGCTACTCTGAAAAGCAGCCCTGACCGATATCAGAGCCTGAGAAATGAAAACACCGAAATAGTTCTGGAGGAAATCTAAGATGACGAACCTAAAAAATCTTTATCCTGAAACTGTTCGAAAGGTAGCTCGAGACCATCGAGGTTATTGGTTCACTTTCGCGAGACGGAAATAACTATATCTATTTCAATGGAAGATAATTATTTATAACTTTTTTTTTAAGGATTTTGTAATTTTTTTTGTACCCGTATATATAAGTTTTTTTGGCCGTTTTGCTTATTGAATTATTCACACCGTATCGAAACCTTCACGATATTCTATACTCGGAGTAAATCCTTAGAGTTGAAGTTTATGCCCTAACGAATGTATTATTCTTGGCGTAACCAATCAAACATCAGTCTGTAGCCGAGGATAATCCGATTGATGAAGCCGATGATATCAAAAAATTTATTCATTTAGTTCCTATTCAGTAACGTTAGACTGGCCGACGTTTTTACCGAGGTACTGCTCTACAGTGCAAGTTCTAAATCAGAGTCTTCATTCTGTTCTGAACTAGGAAAGAAAGTATATATCTAATTAAGAAAGAAGATTATTGGCGTCGGAAGACGGAACAAGGTGTCATTAGTCAATTTTGAACATTGGATTACAAGTGAGCAATCGGGAGGGATTGCTATAGACAAAGAAACTAACTCATCAGTAATGTTTAATCAGAAAGAGGGATGATGATCAGCTTTTGCATGTTTAGGGAACCACTGAAATTGAACTTTTGTCCTGGAAGGTCCTCAAGTTCCGGGGCGTTGAACAAATAACAGAGTTTTGCTTTCTAGTACTTTTTCTCTTCTACGAGTCTCCTCTCGTTAAATATTCGATCATAGTAAAAAAACATAGATTTGATCAGTATTCTTTGGAGCTTTCAAGAACATCGTATGAATGTGTCATAGGATAGTATTGGCTCGAAGCAACTCCTGGCAATTTTCAAAAAAACTAAGAACTTTAAAAGGATAGATGTTATCTTTTACTGATTAAAAACATCAGCTTGACATATGTGCGATATACTTTAAAAGGAAGGATTAAATAGGCACAGGAAAAATGCCAACAATCGGACAAACGTTTTCCGTTCTGTGATAAAATTCGTCATACATTCCAAAGTCACGATATGAACGTTGCTTATGCCTGACGTTGCCAACTATAAGAAGTTTATACCCTTCAACTTTTATCTGCAAACATCTAACAGACGTTTGACGTGCTTGATATGTCCACTAAATAAAATAAAGAGAATATTTAGTTCATAATTATTGAAAACTGAATTCGGTTTTTATTTGGGTAGAACTATTATCAGTTATATACCTATTTCAGCGGATGCTCACAAGTGTGTAAGGTCATCTAATGGGTACTTCCTAAGCTGCATCGCGCAGCATTCTTTGCCTTGTAACGTTGTGCCTGTGTGCTTAAACGTGCTGAGCAAATAACCCCCGAGGACATGAAGATAAATGCCTACTACAACTTATCCCTGGCCCCATGGCAAACGAAACGACCTCCGTTAAGCCTATTTTATTGTTAGTGTGTTGTAGGGCTGTTTCTTAGGGCTGTGTACAATGGGCCTTCTAAAAAGCATAAGCTGGCATACCAGTCCCGCTAACCCATTTCCGTCCCGAGCTACTGGCTACTTCGTGAGTGGGCTGCTAATTTCCTATTACTTCAACGTCAAGATATCATCTCATATGTACCTTAGAGGTGAAAGAACATCCTGATAGCCCGATTATATTGTCTAACTTCAAAATGTACCTCATAGAGGAATAATTCTCAACACCTGTTTATTCTCGAAGTTCAACACTGTTTCGTAACTAAATTGTCTAAGTTATTTCCTCAAGGACAGACTACCTGCATGTCGTAGAGGAAGTGTTGAGACGGGATTTGTCGTCTGCTTTCGATAGCCTCAAAAAACCGTTGTGCTACTCATTCTCGATAGAGGCTGACCTCACAGAACTTGCAAGCGTTTAGACGCATTGAAGACTGGAGTCCAATAAAAAAAGAGTGCGCACGCGGCGACCCTTTTGCAATGACACAAAGGGTAGATTTTTGCTAGGAAGTTATGATTATTGTCTAGACACGCTTGTATTTAAATAATAAGGAAGAAAAAATGTATCCGTAATTTACATTGATATTGTAAGACACGGCGTCGTCTAGTGTTACATTTACAAGTATAATCCTCTTATTTGTATTTTATAACTTCGTTATAAACTTGCGCTTTTTCTATAGTGGTTTCATCTATCTAAAACTATATACACTTTTATTAGACTGTTCGTTATTTCTGTTCAGTGTTGATATAGAATCCAACTGAAGGAAGTCCTCTGTACCCGTAACTTGTAGTCAGTGATTGTTTTTTTAGCATTTTCAGAAGCTTTTTTTTTTTTTTTTTTGTATGGTATGTATGTATGTATATATATATATATATATATATATATATATATGTATATATAAACTGGTATGCCAGCTTATGCTTTTTAGAAGGCCCATTGTACACAGCCCTAAGAAACAGCCCTACAACACACTAACAATAAATTTTTCCATTCATCTTGAGCGAAGGGAGCGACCCCTTTAACAAGAATCACTGCGATATACGAAGATACTTGTTAAAAAAACATCAAGGTATATAGCTTGTCTTAAACAAGAAAGTACGTGAGGAGACCTCCGATGTAATCCAGTCTCATATCTAACGCTGTGGAATC